AGAAAACAAAGGTTATTTGACACAACACATGAATTAATGATTTCTGTGTCTTGGGTTTTAAGTTGGATGAAACTATATTCTCTTCCTAGTTTAAAATATATGGAAAGAGATCCTTTTCCCCAGTTCAGGGGAGAATGCAGAGAGAGGACAGTTCTTGGGAGAAAAGGAACTCAAGTAATGAGGACACAGAAAGCATTGCTCCAAGGGGGGGGAACCAACATCAGGACACTGTCTAATAAAACAGCTTCCTTAATGCATTTGTTGGTCAGCAGTTTGACTAGACCTGTCTTAGAATGAGTAAGGAAAGCACAGTGGGGTCAGCTGGCTAAAGGCTAACTTTGGGTTGTACATGGGAATTGCTATCCTGGCTCACAGGAGTGTTCCCCCTGGATAGCTCTTCCAGCTAATTGTAGTGTGCTGCTCTGGGAGGGTGGGAGAGAAAGAAAGGGAAACCTGATAGCCCGGTGTCCTTTGCTGGCAGCCTTTGAGTTGCTGGATAATGTACGATGTAGTCCTTCAGCTCTTGATACTGATTAGGCTCCTCTCAAGCTCTGTGTGGGGTTTGGCCTCTGCATTTCAGTAGAGTTGGATGTAATAAAAGGAATGGAAAGGTCTAGAAAATATCCCATAAGGAATTGGGGTTATTTATTCAAGGGATGATTTAATAGTTTAAGTACTGGGTTTGGGGTTTTTTTGACGTTGTTGCGAAGGAAGTTAACACTTTTCCTTCCAAGCTTGGTGAAGGCTGGATAAAAACTCCAGAATACCCCTTGACTCAGCTTAACTTTGATACAAGGAAAAGCTTCCCAGCAGGATAATGAAAGGCTAGTAAACATTGTAAGAAAAGGTGTGTAATCTCTGTTAAAAGGCTTCAGGAACAGGTAGGACAAGACATCTGCCCAAATGGCATGGGGTGATCCTAGTTTTGTTGTGCAGCAGATAAATTTGGGGTCCTTTCCAGTTCAAAGATATGGGGGTTTTTTCCACCTCTTTTGGGCTGATGGTCATGGGCTGCTGCACTGTTTAGCTGGCTGGAGACTGTGATTTTCTGCAAATGGATATTGTGCTGAACAAGGCTCTAAGTGTTGCCAAAGAATGTATATCTCCTTCATTTTAAGTAAAATCTATCAGCCAGTTCAAAAGGCAAACATTGTTTCCTGATAAAATGCAGCTGGTGTGCACATGAGCTTAGTCAGCAGACTATAAAATAGCATAAGCTTTCCATAGGGATCAGAAACATCAAAAGCAGAAAGTGTATTTTAAAAAAAAATCTCTAACAGATTGCTATAATTATTAAATGTGACACATCACAAGTAGTGATGGAATATAGCTGAGATGACACTACCCAGACAGGAAGGAATAATATGGCTTTGGTCTGTGTCTCTGTGTACAGATTTCAAATCCCAGAGAGTGGATCATCAGATACCAGAGTATGTGAAGTCCATCATTTAAAATGGGTTTGTTCCCAGGAGAGAGGCATATTTACCGAAACATTCATTTGCAGCTTTTGAAGAAGTTAACAGCTTTAATGCTGTTCTACTAGGGAACAGGGGAAAAATAACCTATGTCAACTTGTCCAGGGGACTGCCCTGCTGGGCTGTACTGGTGTGGTCACACTTAGATAGAGAGTAATGCTTGCAGGTCCAGTACAACACGTCAGACCTCTCTCTCTGTGGCTTATCAATGCAGACACAGGGAAGTGACAGGGGCAGCAGAGCTGCTTTGTGAGAGCCTCCTGGGTACTCCTGATGAGCTGGAGATCAGCTCCTCTGTTGCCTCAGCTTGCCCTTGTGGGGCTGCATTTCATATGCTTTCAGCTCCAAATGGAAGCAATAAGGTAGGATGGACATATGACTGCTGCCAGGAGAAAGTCTCAGATGGAGCTGTTCTGAACTTTCCCCTTCCTCTTTAGATCACATTTCCCTTAAGAAAAAAAAATCCTAAGGGGTGCTCTTATGTTTCTGGTAAGAAGGAATTAGAGGCACTTAACCCATTGCAACCCATTAAAAATTGATAAAACAAATCAATAGTGATTGCCTTTTCACGACAAGCCTTTTCACTGCATGGTGAATTTTCTTTAAAATAGGAAGCAGAGTACCCTTTTAATGTTTGTACTTTTAATCAAATTAATTTGATTCTGTCTGAATTGCCTGGTGCAGTCAAAACAGGCTAGTGCTGCAGTGATGAAAATGCTCTGGCTTTATATTGACAGGGCTGTTCTGAGTTGCTTTTGGTGTTTTGTCCTTATCTGCTTTTCCTGACCTATAACTCACAGAATTAACAGTGCACGACTTCATTCTTTTGTAGTCTTAGGAGGAAAAAATCCATGGGCCTGTTGTTGCTTACTCGTCTTGCAAAGATTTCCCTCTACTATGTAGTGCAGTCATCCTACAACTCCAACTAGATGCCTTTTTTAATTCTAAATTCCACACTGCTTAAAATGCAGAACTAACTGAAATTGTCAGGGCCCTGAAAGTTGGTAAACTGACTCCAAGAAACCCCCTAAACCATGAATTTTATGTCATGTTGCTGTTTGTGTTTTCAGGTTTTACATTTGCAGGTGTATCTCTGAACATGAGGGGAAGAAATGATTCAAAACTTAAGGACTTTATTCATATAGAAGCAAGAGCTTTAAAAGGAATGTCAGACTGTGTGTAATAAAACTGTGAGAACAACAGTGGTTAAACATGCCAAATGAAGGAAAAAAAAGGCAGAAATATCAATTTTAAACTATGTTTTTTCATTAAGTTGGATGCTTCACGTGACTAATTTGGAATGTTAATAATTATCACAATAACATTTATGAAAAAGATAAACATATGGCCTCTTGGCATTCTGTCTGTCTGTGTGTTGGGGAAAAAAATAGCTTAAGACACAGCTGTGTTAGACACCAATGGGCTTTGCCTTGTTCCCTGGGGAGGTGCTGTGCTGGGAGGCTGAACACACACGTGAACAAGAAGTGGCATGCCCAGAATTCTGTGCAAAAGCTTCAGCTGCTTTGAGTTCATAGAATGTCCACAGCATTGCCCAACACTCTCTCTCCAATGAAATCTCATTAAGGCAGAAGGACTACTGGGCTGTTTAGAGATCAGAACCTACCTTTGCTGTTGCTTCATAGGAAAGATAGATGAGGAGTTAAATATTTGAAAGTAGCATAAACTATGAATTTCAGCCATATTAGTTAATAATCACACCAGCTTAGAAATGGTTATTTTCACCCATTCTGTATTTTGTTGTTTCAACGAGTAAACTGGCATCATCTGTTCTGTGTTCTAATGCCAAAATCACAAATATGTGACATGATTCAGTAACTGAGAGAATTCTGTATTTTTTCAAGTTGTTCTATATTTGAGACTCCTCTAGAATAGATTAATACAAACCAGCAAAGTTAATAAAAGCTCAGCACTGTGATTAACCTATATGCATTTTTAACATAGGTGATGCTGTCTTTGGGGAGCACATCCTCCTAATATAGGGAGCTGAATCCCTCTCTCAGAAACTAGCTCATGTCTTCCTAAATGTTGCTCAGTTGCTATTTGCACATCTGCAACGTAATTGAGACGTTGGTTTACCTGTAAAAGATGTGCAAGTTAAACATTGATGTTTGTGTACATATATTGTATTATATCAAAGAAGTTAGGTGGCCTTTACAAATGATTCTCCAAACACTGCTAAAACTATTTACGAGAACTTTTTAACTACATTAAGTGGCTTTTGGAAGGAGTGTCAAAAATATCCCATAATGAGATACCTGGAAGTCTCCTCCTTACATAACTCCTTAGATAAAAATAGGCAGACATATGAGTAAGACACGCCAGGTTTGAATAAGTACATGGCATGGATCTAATTGCCATGTTGCTCTATTTCTGAAGTGCAGGAGCATGGATTATCATTATGTGCAAACTGGAATACAGGGAAGTTCACGTGGCATCCCTGTGTCTGTCTGCTGAGGGCCCAGCAAACACCACCCAGCTTGCTGCACTGAATTAAGTCTCAAAACATTCTATGAAATAAAGTCTAATCTTCTTAGGAAGGTAAATTACTCTTAGGAGCCATCTGCCTTTACCCTTTAAAAAAATGCCTCTTTAAATGTAAATTTAGCTTTCCACCAGAGACAGTATTGCCATGGCAACAAACACAAGAAAAATAAATGTCTTGCTACAAAATAAGGAGTGGTTTTCTTCTAAAACATACTCCATATGAAATAAAATATGCAGCTATGGAATTATTATATAAATGATCTCAGACAGTAAAAAAGAGTATCAGTCTTTTCCTGGAATGGTTCTCTGAGCTAGTACCAAACACACAATTGCTTGTGGTGAAGAAATGTATTGTATACTTAATTTCACGTGCTATAAAGTGGAGCTGTCATCTTGCAGTTTGCTCTGGAGGGACTGGAATGCTACAAACTTCAGTGCAGCATCAGGCAGGCAGCAGGAGTTTACAGAGCTGGAGCCTAAAATGTAATCTCTCCCAGGTAATTTATATTACAAATGCTTTGCTGTGTGAGTTTGCTCTGTACAGTCTGCCACTGTATTGTTATTCAGAGAGCACAGAAGTAGTGGCTCAGATTTCTCTTTTCATTGAATGAAAGGAAGGATGCATTCAGGTTAGGCCTGTTTCAAAACTGAGATTGATGAGTGGTGTACTTTAAATTGCTCACAAACAAATTCCTCTCTACCTCTTCCTGCATCAGTAACCCCTTTCAAAGGTCAAGTTGAGGAGACACCCAAGATGGGCAATATCATTATTTGCAAGACCAAAATTCCTACATGGTTAAAAATAGTTCATTTTTATAATGTATACTTTCCCATTTCAGGCTTCAAATTTCACAATATCCAACTATAGCAAGAGTTTTCAAACGTTGTCATTGTTGAAATGTTCCACGATTGTTTATTCACCCTCTTTCTTTCCCTTCTTTTGGCCTTTTGACTGCACATGTTGTGTTTGAAGGCTGCAAGGGAGTGAAGATACCTGTGGCTGGGTTCTACCCGTTGGAGAAGGCGAGGAATTCTGGTGCTTGCCTGTGGAACAGAAACCATCCTGCACTCACCTCGCACCTCTCTGAATAAGGCAGTAAGTAGTTTACAAAGATTAAGCTCTTTCTTCTTGCTGTATGGCAGGCAGGGAAACTGCACATTATCGTCACTTAAAGACCTGTTAAAGAACTAATTTCTGCTACAGATGGTGATGCTGACTTTGGCATGTCACTTACTGTGAGAGTCAGCAGGAGCAGTACTGAAACAGTAACCTGCTCTTTCCCTACCTTAGCTGCCTTAGTGGCACGTTCAGTGGCATCCATATCTGTCGCTTTGGTATCCCTCTGTAACTCGTGTTGAAATCAGAGGAGTAAAGTTGAATGTTTCCAGCGATGGCACGGGCAGAACTTCACACAACCTCCTCTCCTGAGAGAAGATGAAGAGTCAGTTTTAGCAAAATATTGTCCTTTTATGTGTGCAACAGTTCTGCAGGAAGTGTAAAGCTGGTATGCGGGGATGGATTGCAATGGATTAGGCAATCTATCAGGGAGCAGTCAGCTTCTCCTGCATGTCCCGACCTGCCAGACCTTGAGCTCGGCAGGAATACCTGGAGAGGGTCGCGCTGTGGGCTCTCCTGCTGTCCTGCCTTGGGCAGCAGCTGATAACAAGGTGTGTAGGGAAGGAACAAAGGTAACAGGATGCACAGGCACTAATCCTTCCAACAGGTATCCTGCTGCTCACCCGAAGTCTTGGCTTACCTGCACATAGCAGTCTGTGCCACCGCCCAAGGATGTGTCCTTAGACAGCTTTTTGTACCGAGTGCTCGTCAACAAGCGCCTTCCCGGGGTGATTCAGGGGGTGCTGGAGCCCAGGGAGCCGCTGCCCCCCGCTCTGCTCCTCCTTATGGAGGGCTCCAGCCGGGCGACACACAGTACCCTCATCTAACCCCTCCAGCGTCACGTCCCACCACACTGAGGTGACTTCAGCGGGCGACACGGAGGTTTTGGTGAGTCCTACAGCAAGTGTAAGCGCATGGGGGGGCACAGGGGAAAAGCCAAGGCAAGGAGTGAGCATCTCCCACACGCACACACTTCTCACCGCAGTCGGTCACCCCCGGGCACCTCCACCCCCTCACACACGGCGGGGTCCCCTCAGGGCCGGGGCTCCCCTCCCGCCCCTCCGGGCGCGGCCCCGCCTCGCGGCCGCACAGCACATGCGCGCAGCCGCCGATGCCGATGCCGAGGGCGGGGCGGGGCCGCGGCCATTGCGGCCCGGGCGGCTGAGGGGACGTGGTGTTGCCGCCACGATGGTGTCCTGGATGATCTCCCGGGCGGTCGTGTGAGTGCCGGGCTGGGGCGGCGGCGGGAGGCGGCTCATCTCTCGCGGCGGGGGGTGATCCCGGGGGAGGCGGCGTCCCTTTCTTCTTTCCCGCGGTCCCCCGCAGCCGGGCGCCCTGCGCGCCCCTTGAGCGTTCTGTGCCTCGGAGAGTACTTGTGCGCCCAGAAACTCCCGCAAAACCGCACCGGGTTCCTGGCGAGCACAACTCGTCCTTCCTGGTCGCTCCGTGTGTCTCCTGCTCTAAGGGCGAGTTTCCTGGGGCTGCAGAGCCGACAAACTCGGTCTGCTTGTGCCTGTCACACCGTTGCTTGTAAATTGATGTAAAGTAACCTATAAACCTTTTGAGCTTGTGGCCGATCATAACCTATGAAATCTGGTTGCTCTCTAACTCATGGCAGAGCTGAGAGGGCCGTGAGAAGGGCGGCGAGTGCGGGATGGGGGTGTGTAGTCAGTGCGGGTCACCAGCTGATGAACAGGTACTCTGGTAGTCTTGTCTTTTTGTTCTACTTTGTGTTCTGGGCTTCGTAAAGTCGAGTTTTTGGCAGCCAAAGAGGCAAGCTTTCTCAGGTGGGAGGTATCATGTTACACGTTGTGTAAATTCTGTTTGAGAAAGAGTAATAAACTGCAGTGCAGCCTCCGGTATTTTTCACGGGCATTGTGCTGTTCCTTCGTGAAACTGGTGGGTTATTGCGCTCATTTGAATAATGTTCCCTCATAAACGTTGAGTAGGATTTGGGCAACAGTCTTCCTCGCGCTCCTTGCTGAGGAGCACCGGGGCTCCCAGGGCTTATTGGGTCACTCGAGCTGAGATTTGCTGCGTGTGAGTTTTTGCCAGGCAAATGAAGCGAATCTGCGCACAAAGCAGTCCAACAAACATCCGAATTAGTGTAAAGTATGTGGCGGGAGTGTACGACCCAAAGCAGGGTGTAATAACAGGATTTCCATGTTTATTTGGTGACGAACATTCCCCCCTTAAGATGCCTGGTGTAATTTCATCTGAAAACTTTGTTGTCAGGAAGCCCTCTCAAACCACCACGGAGGTTTTTTGCTGCTGCAGCCCACTCACCTAGATAAGCAGCAGTCCTCCCTCTTGCTGCCACCCCCTTGGGATTTGTCACGTAATTGAAACTTGCAAAGTAGAGCATCTCTTTCTCAAATTGGCAAAGGACAATGCCGGTTTGGAAGAGAGAGGCTGTGGGAAGAACTGCTGTTGGTGCACTTTGTCAGTGTGGTCTTCCCATGGGCAATACACAGCGCCAGAGGCAAGAGGCATAAGCTTACTTTCTGTACATGAGATGGGGCTGCTGAACCTGTTTCTGCCTCCTTATGTAAGAACATCGACCAGAAAATTCTTATTTTAACAACTTAGACTGTGTTGGTTGAAAGGGAAATCACAGCAACGCTGAGCATCTCAATTTGTGATGACCAGATTCTTGTATAGATAGCTGGGTTTTTTCCCCTGACATGGATTTCTAACGGTTGTATTTGCATTTTGAGGATTAAGGTCTCTGTGAGCCTAACCAATAGCACAGGGAATGAAGAGAACAGCTGCTGCTTTCCACAGATTTATTGCAAAAGGCAATAAAGGGTAATGTACCGTGCAGTTCCATGTAGTTTGGTTTCCTGGTTGCCACTGGTCACTCACTTGTGTGCCCTAATTATTTTTGCTAAAAATGGAGTCCTTAATATTATTTATAGATCCTGTCCACCTTCTTGTGGCCTTGTCTCCTAGTTGTGGGACTTAAATAGTTTGCCAGTGTTCAACTTCCCAGGAAGGGGAGAGTGTTCAATGAGAACTTGAACAGCTTTGAGACTATTGTTTAAGTTTGCTTAATAAAGCGAAATTCGTGTTAAAATGGAAGGTGAGACGTAGCAGGAAAGTAGATGTGGTGTGACATTAGAGGTCTAAATTCAGTGGTGTTGAGAGTGTCCTCCTTGCCCTCTTTCCTCAGTGTCCATTATGCCATCTTCCTCTTTGATCTGTTCCCCTTCCTGGTCTCTTTCCAGACATACCTGTTCCAGTGACTTTGTTTCTCTGACTTGTGTGTTAGGACTTCGGAAGGTGTGTACTGCCTTTGCCCCAAACGCCATAAGAAACATGGAAATATTTTTAACCACTATGTAGCTGTGGAGACCTCGGGTTCTCCCTTGTTTCTGTAGCATTTTAATTCTGGTGTGGTGACTTTGTGTCTGTGAGAGCTGTGGGTATCTCACACTGTCCCTGTGTTGTGTGTGGGCAGCCGTCAGGAGTATCTGTGGTCTTGACTGCTGACGGCAAGGAGCAGCAGTTGTTCTGGCTGTGGCACAGTTCTCCTCCCGTAATTGACCTCCTATTTTTCAGGGCCAAAAGAGCAGCAAAATATTAATTTGTAGGTGTGTGGCAGTGCCCTCTGCTGACTTCTGACGTGGGGACTTGTCTTGACACGCATGTCCCGAGCAAACCGCCCTCTGATGCAGTTTGAGATTTTGCAATTTGGGATTCATCAACTCCACTAAAAGAGTTTGGTTAAAGCTTTAAGGAACTAGGGAATGGAGCTAGTAGAGAATTAGAATTCTTAATTGCATGTGAATTGTCTTGAGGACTCATGCACAGGAAACAGGGAGTGGTTCAAATTCACTGTTCCAGGTACTGATCTTTGTTTTAATGAAATCGTTTCCCTTTGCTCTGTAAATTCTTTTATACTTAAGCACCTGAACTTGTGAAATACCTTGTAGTAATTGGGTATCTTCTCCTTTATGTCAAGAAGCAGAAGACTTGAAGCACATAATTAAAACATCTTTTAATTTTCAAGTCTTGTGTCAGTGGGTAGCTGCTCTAGTAGGTACAGGTCGTTATTACTTCTAAAACACACTGGCTATTGCAACAGTTTTTGGAATGTTTACTGCAGGGTTTTTCTTTTTTTCCTAAACAAAACCAACAAGAAAATAGTAATTTCTTTTAGAGTCTCAGAAAACTCCTTGGAGTGGTAAATCTTGTCAAGTTCTTAGTCCCTAATGGTGGGAATAGCTTTTCAAGCCCATCTTGTTAACTTCAAGTAGAGCTTGGGCTTGACTTTTAGTCTGCTTTGATTGCTCATTCTTCTCATTTGTAAGGTCTGAGCAATTGTGTACACATCAGTTGCTGAGACAGTATTTAATAGTAAACACGCTGAGTACTTGTCAGTCACAGCCTGGTATGGATGAGATCAGACCATCCTTTTGTGCCAAGCAAAGATGTGAAGCATCCCAAATACAAAATAGATGGCCATTTTGTACTTGCAATCTGTTAGAGCAGACTGTCTGCTGTAATCTGTTAACTTTTTTCCCCTCCTCACTTAAAAATGAAAGTTCCCCCATCTGTGTTGCTTTGCAACACTCTCTACCCTCGTGTTTAAGTACATGGTTTGTTGCCAGTAAAGTTGGTCAGCATCCATCACTGTTGGAAGGGAGAGCTGCAGCGGTCCACGGGAGGATGTGTTTGCCTTAGGTATTAGTAGTTAGTTTTCTGCTTGTACAGAAAACCCCCGTTTTAGAGCCTTGCAACGAGCAAAAGATGTACAGGTAAAAGATTCAGTAAGCATTCCTTGGTTCTGATATTAGAGTATAACTGTAAATAGGTTAAGCTGGACAAAGACTGTCTGGGGGACTCAGGAGGTGACCTGAAGGTAGGTATTAGTCTCTGTCAGCCTTTGCTACTTTACAGATGAGTTTCTTTCATGGTAGTTTCCAAGGCATTCTCTTACTCTACTTTTAATACTTTTTTTTTTTTTGTTTGACATTTCAAGCTGCCCCAAGAATGTGTGGCTGAAGCCATAGCTTCTGTGTTGATTGGATTGCTGTCAATTCAGGAATATCTGGTTTAGAGTGTAGGTGTTGTTTTATGTAACAGTGTATACTTTGTTTGTAAACCTAGATTGTGTTTTGTTCTTGGAATACAATTTTTAAACTAAAAGCATGAAGGACAAAAATATTTACCCTCTTTTGTTTGCTAATCAACCTGCTGTCAAACATGTTGTCTTGAAACTATCACAGTTCATCAGATGGAATTAAGTAGCAATACCGCCACGTGTTGTGTGAAAGAATAGCCTAATCTTCAAATCAGAAGGGCCATTTTTGGGAGAGGTTTTTTTTTTTTGACTTGTTTGTGGCCTGCTCTCCTGTTGAGATGGTTCCAGCTGAAGGACAAGGGATGTTGAACTGCTGCTGATGCTGAATTTCTTCCTGCATCCTTCCAGTTTAAAGGCCTGTAAATTGCTGCTGCACCTGTGGGGAAAAAGGAGCCGCTGTCATCGTGTGAGGGATTGAGATGGAGAGATGTGCTGAAATGTCTGTCTCATCACAGAACTGGAAAGACTCAGTCACCACGTATCAGTTATCCTTGGCATCTCATGCTATGCTTAACTAGATCTCGCTGGCCTGTTGCTGCAAGGGACCATCCTGCCCTTCACCCTCTGCTCGTTCACTTCCCGCGGGGTCCAAAAGTTGCCCTGTGGCCACAGGGTGAGTCTGGTTGTTTTGTCAACCCAAATGAAAATGAGCATTGACAGAAGTTGATCTTTTGTTGGTTGCAGTGAACTGCAGCAGCTCATGCTGTGTAGTTGCTAGATGAGCGCTGTGTTGAGCATGGAAGGTTGCAGGACAAAAGCAGCATTGTTTTCAGCCTCAGCTTATGACCAGGCTGGTTAAAGCTACTCTGAAACTACATTCTTCCCTTGCACGTTGCTGGTTATTCTTTCTTGCAGTGAAACTAGTTCCAGTAATA